CCAGCATTAATGAAAAAAAGAAAGAAATTTTAACTAAAAATTGATAGAAGTTAACCGTTCAAAGGGAACTCACATAAAGATTACAATTAGCTCTAAGGCAATAACACAATGCAATTTATTAATCATTGGTTGATTATAGATAGTTGTTTGTAGAGTACTGTATTGATTTGAGCATTAGCGTGACTTGATTGAAATGGAAATCAATATGTGAATGACTCCGAAGTATCGTCCATTTGCCCTGTATTACGCACGTGCGTGTATTCGTCCTCATTATTATCTTTTTCTTTAATATTATCACTTCGTTTTAAAATTGTCTATATAGTTATGATTCTTGTCGATGGCATTCGAGTACACATTGATACCGCAAGTTGAAGGTATCTCAAGTTTCTTTTTTGATTTTCCGTAAATATTTTACGGGGTCAAATGTTGATACAGCCAATCGTGTATAAAATGGGAAGGATCGAAGCTCGCATGATTTACAGCTTCTGCAACATGCCATGCAAGGAACTTACATTCGAACTATGCTTACATAGGGATAGCCACTGTCCGGTAAATCGATATGGACACGCAATGGTTGTGCTCTGCATGACCAGACTCAAAAACATTGTTATTGTTAATAATCTTACTCGCTCACGAAGCACAAGGTACACCCCGATCGATACGGAAATCGTAACCTCACTTCCTTTTCATTGCGGACTGTATTCATAGATATTTGGATGCGTTCCAATAGTTTTGCGCTGAAACCTCTATTTCTACTTTCCAACACCTTTTCCTCTATTCCTCTAAATATAATAAACAGAGCGGATATTTCTAATGAGTTATACCAAACTATTCTCAAGTCTAAAAGGATCGTTCGATGAAAATTTGAAAAGCAAAATAGTAAACTAAGCATGGAAGGGGAAGACCTTGTTTCCTATAAGATATATTTAACTCGAGCTTGATAGTCCTTTGTCTGTATAAAATTTTCCTAATCGTAAATCACATTGTAAAATTTATAAACTACAATGAGAAATAAGATGAAAGAAGTAGTACTATAATGATTTTAATAAAACGTTAAAATGTACATAAATTTGTACTTTATCATATAATTGATTTTTAGAAAGTGGCAGATTGTTCGTTTTCGGAAGCAACGATTGGGGTCAATTGGGTCTCGGTCATAAAAACCATGTCAGCAAACCATCCTGCGTGAAAAGTATATCCTTTATTTTCAACTTTTAATACCTTTATCATATTGTAGGATATCATTAAGGTCAGTTTCGTAAGGTACATGAATATTTCCGTGTTACAGTCTTAAAGCCGGAGAAAGTCACACACGTAGCATGTGGAAGAGCTCACACTTTGATATGTACGGGTAAGTCTTGTATTCCTTAAAACACAAAAAAAATAAAGAAACAACAAAAACTAAACAGGCGGAATATGTGCAGTAAACGTATACGTCATAAGTAATACATAAACGATACATACTTACGTGAAACATAAATGTTAATTTATTGATTTACGTGAGCAAACTATTTTTGTATGACAAGCCTAATTATTCCTTTTTATTCAGCTGATAAGTATGACGTATGTATTCGCGTTGTTGAAATCGATTTCAGTTTAAGTAACCACATAAAGTATTTTCTGTTCTCTTTATACTTCATTTTCGCTTAGGTGGACAAAAAATATTTGCTTGTGGAAGCGATCAAGAAGGACAACTGGGCCGCGGAAATGCAGCGATAGGAGATAGCGCGAGCACTCCAGTTTTGGTATATGATTGCGGACTCGCGGGTCCAAGAGTTACACAAATAGCTGCGGGATCTCACCATTCGATGGCTCTTACTAGCGATGGTGGTGTCATCGTCTGGGGAAGCAATCTAGAGGGACAACTTGGACTATCGGGGATCTCTGGACTGGTAAATAAGCCAACGAAGGTTCCAATTCCTGAACCGGTGAAAGAAATCAGCACAGGATATTATCATTCTGCGTTTTTAACCGGTAATGTATTCCTTCATTAAGAAGTTTGTTGAAAATTACAAGGATATTTTCATCATATCATATTAATGATCGATACAATGGATAATCATCATGATGATAATCAATACGATGAATAATCTCTGCGATGATTTCTCATCGTGTTCTCTTCTTGAAAAATCATTAAATAACCTATACATTCCCTATTGACCCTGATAGATACTAATCATATATAAATCAATTAATATTCCAAGCTCTGACAATGTATCTTTGAAAGTTTTCCGTCCTATAGACTATCATTCAGCGTTATAAAAGTTACCTTGTATACCCGCAAAGATCTATAAGCTTATACATACATACATATATATACATACATATATATATGTGTATACATACATATATATATGTGTATATATATATATATATATATATATATATGTATGTATATTTAAGTTCAATGGTATTTTCAGAAAGCGGTCTCATTTATATCTGTGGCGAATCTGAAAGTGGTAAGCTCGGGATCGATGTCAATTTCTCAACACAAGTCGCGCCGAAGCAAATGTTATTGCCCACAACGGCGATACACATCGCGTGTGGAGGTCATCATACTCTCATATTAACAGGTATTACCTGTTAACCAAGAGAATTATAGAATATTTTTTACGAATTTGATTTCTATAGAAAAAAAAAAAAAAAAAAAAAAAACATTATCGTTTAGAGAGCGGCAATGTCTATTGTGTTGGAAGCAACGCCAGTGGTCAATTGGGAATGGGAACGAACGTGACTGAAGTTCCAACGCCGAAACTTCTTTCTCGTGATGCTCTGCAGGATCAGTCGATTGTCAAAATCGCTTGCGGGGAAAGTCACAGTGCCGTTCTAACGGGTATAATACGAGTGTAAATTCGTCTTTATTTTGTGATTTCTTCAATCCTTTATAACTTTTTTGTATCACAGAATCTGGCAAACTCTACACGTGTGGTGATGGTAGACACGGAAAATTGGGTCTCGAGGAAAATGAAAATAACGTTCACGAGTTAACATTTGCTATCAAATATCAAGAACTTTTTATTTCGAATGTATGTAGTCTTTAACTCATGATTTTTCTCGTCACATACACGTTTCTTAATTTCTTAAAGCATACGATTGTTCTTCCAGGTATCTTGTGGTGGCTGTCATACGATATTGCTAGGTAAAAGACGCGAGATGAGTAACCAGACAAATCAAGAATCAGAAACTGTACAGGTAGTGAGTATCAAATGAAATAAAAATAACTGAAGAATTCGAAAGATATTATTGATTTCCGAATTCTAGGATCACCAGATCCAAAAAAAGAATTCTCTGCCTCCTTTGAAACTTCCTGTAAACAGACTACAAGCCGAAAACCATACGGATAAAGAGGAGGACGAAAAAGAATCTACGGAGAGTGAAAAGATTCTTGAAAAATCTGTATCGGAAGATAATCAGGAAACTAAACTGGATAACGAGCATAATAACATTCCCGAAACACCAAAGGATAGTATGAATAATTTCGAAAAACCTGAAATTCCTGCAACGAATGAAGAATCAGAAGAGACGCAAAAAGTCATAGAAGTAGAAAAGTCAGAAATCATAGATGAAAAAGAGAACGTAGAAAATAACAATGAGGAAAACACAACGGAAATGAAAATTGAGAGTAATGTTGATATTGAAGAACCAAGCGAATCAACGACGGCAGATATAGATTCAAATAATGTGATAGAAAAGACAGAAGAAACGACAAAAACTGAAGAATCGAAAATTGAAGATGAAACAAAAACTAGTCCAGAAAAACCAACATCTCCTGATCCTATGCCACCACCTAAACCACCTCGACAAAAAACAGAAAGTCCTGAAGGATCTGCAGGCGAGGATATCAAATTATCACGTAAGTCTTCGGAGGAGGAAGAGAATAAAGAGAATAATCAAGATAGTAATCCAAAAAAGAACGAAGAATATGAAATGGAAGAGTCGATAATACGATCTATGACAGAAGAAACAAAAAAAGAAGAAGAAAGTCCTGCGAAAGTTTCTATTAATAGCCAAAAATCTCGATCAACAAAGTCGAACGCCGATACTGAAGAAACTATAATTGCCGACCCTCAAAATACTCTGGATGAGTTGAAAACGACAGATAAAATTACGACAAATGAAAAAAATGATGAAGAACGCGCACACGATGATGCTGATGTAATACAATCACCAGCACCTAGAACTGGTTAGAGACTTTTTTATTTTGCTTTCATTATTTTTATGCATTTTTATTATTTTGAATCATGTTTTTAGGAAAAATGGCAAAATTATTCAAAGGAAAGAGGCAACAAGAGATAGAGAATGGCACAAAATCTAATGGAAGTACGAATCCAAAATCGAAGGTATATATTATTTTAGTTTCTCATTTTTCTTTTACATTATTATATAAAGATGTACAATTAATTATATTCTGTCAATTTTTCAGTCGAAAACGTGTAACATCTTGTGATCGAGAAGATTTCAAAGATTTAATTATATTCTATTATATTTTTTTATATCATACTCCTATGCGAATCTCAAACGCTTGGGACCAAAGCGGACAAAATTAAATATTTTTAAAATAATCTTGGAACAAAGGCAAAGTGCCTTATTATGGAATTTATTATTCATTGTTGCCTTTATACGCATACCTTAAGGTATGCGTTATTGTTAAATTGCTTGATGAATTAAAAATTGTACCATAAATGTGAACACATAATAAACTTTTCCATTCTATTAAAAGATCATTTTTATAATGTAATTCTTCAATAAATTCCAGTAAATAGTTTAATGATATCTCTTTAAGAGTTCAATGTAATAATACCTTAATTAAATCTATGCAATTGTATTATTCTAATTACTTATATAGATGTTAATAAAATTGGTTTGACTAAAAGACAAAATTGAATATTTTAAATGCGACGCCAAAGAATTCTACGCCATACGCATTCAGTCAACTTTATTGGCGCTGTTCACAAGCGGCAGAATCACGAAACATTCTTGCACCTGCAGGTAAATGTTCATTAAGTTCATCAATGTTCATATACTGGCATGTTATATACACCGAACATAACCTATAAAACAATATTGAATAGGTGTTAGTATACTATATTGAATATTATGTTGTATTACATAATATAAACAAATTTAATATACAGATAAAATACGTGTTGTTATTTATCAAAAGAGATATACGATGGCAGAAGTAAATACGGATAACAATGATTCCCCAACAACACATGAAAGATTTTCTCGTAATCGTGGACGTGGTTCTGGCAGTAAAAATCGCGATACATTTCATAAACATAGTGATCGACGAAATTATGATTCTTCCAATTCTCAAGAATCAAGTAATAAATCAAATCGTGCTAGATCATATAGGGGTGGTGAGTTTTAATTATTATATTTAATTTAATTTTATAAAAGATAATATAGATAATGAATAATACATATTGTTAATTTAAATAATTTAAAGATAAATAAATCATGTTTTAATAAAATTCTTATAGGTTTCCGTGATAATAATTTTGCTCGAAAACCGTATAAAAGAATCTGGTCTCATTTGGAAGGAGATGGGAAAAGAAAACGGCTTGAAGTTGGTAATCGTTTAAAAGAACCTGACATTGGTGTGACAGAATTTATAGGAGATCATCTTGGTTTTTCTGGTTTAGTTAAAGAAAGATACAGTGATTTCCATGTCAATGAAATATCTCTTGATGGTGAGATTGTTAAATTAACGGATCAGAATATTCCTATCGAGCCCCAAGAAACAGAAACTTTAGATGATTTGAAGAAATGTGTTTCTGATACTATATGGGAACAATTGCAAACATTAAAAGAAGAAGAATCATCTACTTCTTCTATTGAAATTGATGTTACCGATATAGATAAAGATGGACGAAGAACTATTCATGAAATTGCTAAAAGACTGACAAATGTTAAGAGTCAAACTATTGATCAAAATGGCAAAAAGCTTATGATAATAATGAAAAATACAAAAGAAAATACAAATACAAATGGTAAAATCACTTGATTTTAATTGAAATAAAAATGTATGATTAATTTTTCTGAAATTTCATAGTATTTTCATGTTATTTTATTAGCTTACAGGTTCCGTATTGACGACAGAATTAATTGGAAAAAACATGGAGGAGACTATTGTTACTTTTTATTACATAAGGTGAATATGGATACAATGGATGCTTTAAATCAAATGGCCATGATGTTACGTATTAAACCAAATAATTTTAATTATGCTGGAACAAAAGACCGTAGAGCATGGACTACTCAATGGGTTAGTTTAAAAAAAGTAACTCCTAAAAGCATTTTACGTGCAGGAAATGCAATACGTGGTGCCTATGTGGGTAATTTCAAATTTGTAAAGGAACCACTTAAGTTAGGTATGTTAACTGGTAATCGCTTTAAAATAGCAATACGAAATGTTACTGCATCAAATGAAGAAATTGAGAAAGCTATGATATCGTTACGCGATCGCGGATTTATTAATTACTATGGTCTTCAACGATTTGGCACAGTTGCTGCCATTCCAACACATGAAATAGGAAAGAAATTGCTTCAGGGTAAATGGCATGAAGCAATAGATTTGATCTTAAAACCGCGAGAAGGTGAACAAGATAAAGGCTTGGTAGAGGCAAGGAAAATATATGAAACGACAAAAGATGCATATGCAGCATATAATAAAATTAAAAGATCAGACAAAATTGAAGCAAACCTTTTAAAGGGTCTAACAATATGCACAGATAAAAATCCTCAAGGTGCATTAGATATGATACCAAGAAATATCCGTTTAATATATATTCATGCTTATCAAAGTTTTATATGGAATCATTTGGTATCTAAAAGAATAAAAGAGTTTGGTACACATCCTATTGTTGGTGATTTGGTATATCAAAATAATTCGGAAGAAAAATGTTCAGAAGAAAATACAGAAAGTGCAGAAATGTGTCAAGATAATAGCGAAGATACTTGCTTGGATGATGATGCTGATGAACCTAGTAATTCTATGAAAGAAGATCAAGACGAAATGATGTCTGAAATGTATGAAGTAGATAATAAAAAAGATGGCAACAAATCTAATAATGATATAAAAGAAGTTACAAATGCTACAGAAATAAGTCTTAAAATAGAAGAGAAAACTGATGAAAATAATACTATCGAAAATAAAGAAGAACAGGAAGATACTTATAATATTCCTTCAGTCAAAATCCTCACTGAAGAAGATTTACCTAATTATACATTAGCTGATATAATAATGCCACAGCCAGGATGGAAAGTGATTTATCCTCCATATGCCAAACCCTGGTTTGATGAATTTTTAGCTAAAGATGAATTAACGACTGATTTAAGACAGAATAATAAGTAAGTTTTACATTTAAAATAAAACTACTACTTACTATTACATAAACTATGCTATATATATATATATATTTTTAGAAAATATAGTTTGGGTGGAGCTTATAGAAAAATATTACAAATTCCATTAGACTTATCTTGGAAAATCATGCGCTATAAAGCTAAGCATGATGATCTCATTTCGAGTGACATTGATGAAATAAAACAAGTTACACCTCCGAAAGATGATCCTGGTACGTAAAGTATTATTATTTTTTAACTTCTACTTTTATGCTACTTTTTCTTTTTCATAGCGATTTTTCGTTACGATACGATTACTTTCAGACGGAGAATATAAAGCATTAATAGTAGAAATGAGTTTAGGAGCAAGTACATATGCCACAATGGCGTTACGTGAAATATTAAAACACGATACGTCACCTCAAGTACAGGCTGCACAATCCGCAGCTCATGACACGCTTGTCGAAAATAAAGAAACTATTGCTGATGTATCGAAAACAAATACCGGCGATAATAATACTCAATCAAAAGAAGTTGAAAAAGAAGGATTAGAACAATCGGATAAAATTGATGAGAAGATGGATGTTGATCCAGATCCAAAAGAATCTGCCGAAAACGAAAAATGTTTAATCGAATCTGAGACAGAAATGCAAGTAGAACCGGCGATTGATGACATAGAAATGAGTCAAGAAAAAATAACTGTAAATGACATTAGTGCTAATTAAAGATCTTTTCCATCTAAGATGCTACAAATATTTTGTTTCTATTTATCGGTACACGCTACAATTATTGTAGCGTGTATAAATACACATTTACTTTTGTTTAAAGAAACAGACTTTGTATTTTCTTTTTTTTTTTTTTTTTTTTTTTTTTTGTTTACATAAAAACTATCACGAAATGAAATTAATTCAAAGAAAATCAAAATTTATGTGAAAACGAAAATATATATATTTAGCTAATATATGTGAATAAATACATTTTTTTCTTTTCCATTTAATCCAAGTTGTACCTAATTCATTCTTTTCCCAATTCATTATACTATAAATGATGTATATATAAACGTTTACTTTATAATTACAATTTATATGCAAGACATTTTCGTACCAATCATAAAATACAATCTACATATTAGTATTGCAAGGGTAGCCATGAAGTCCACGGAAAAAAGGTGGAAGGTAAGTGAAGTGCGTTCGTATTTAAAAATTCAAATCTTGCATTATCAACTCTCGAAATCGCAGTTTCAACGTTTGGAGAATCTCTTAAATTAACTATAGAAAATTGCGAATGATGTGTTCGTTCGTGTGTTCGCAAATTTCCAATAATCGAAAATTTCTTGTCACACACTGTGCACTGATAGGGCCGATCGCCTAAAAAGCAAAATCTTGTTTTTTTATTCGTGATAATTATGAAAAGAGGGTACATTACCGTTGTGTAGTTGCATATGATGATGTAATGCTCCTGGTTTGCAAAATCCTCGATTGCATACAGGACATCTCATGGGCCAGTTTCCGGTATGGGAATATCCATGCGCTCTGAGATCTCCAGGAGTTGGAAATGAACGGCCACATTCGTTACACTTATGTGGCTTTTCCTATTTCATTATTAGCATAAAAATTTAATTACTTTAATTAGATGTTAAAAAAGATGTATAAAAAAAATATATGCAAAAAATTAAGTTAAATTTAAAAATTGTGAAATTCTAAAATTACGTGAATACATTTATGTAACTGTTCAATGATTAATTAACAACCTTATAATGAGTCATACGATGATAATATAAGTTCGAAGACGCTGTGAAACGTTTTCCACAAATAGGACACTCGTGAGGTCGTTCTCCAGTGTGTATTCTTGCATGTGTGTTCAAAGAACTACTGGTGCTAAACATTTTGCCACATACTTTGCAACCATGTGGTTTTTCACCTACCGATGTAAACAAAAAATGAGTAAACACAATCCTATGCTAAAAAGTGAAAGTTAATCTCATATTTTCTTTACACAAATATACCTGTATGCGTTCGCAAGTGTCTCTTCAGGAGAGACGGTCTATCAAAATTTTTTCCGCAAGTTTGACAAGGCAAACGTCGCTGAAATTTCGAAGTATCCGTCAAATTAATTTTTTTCTCAGTTCCGCGAAAACTCAAATCTAATGGCACGTCTTGCATAACGTCCCAAACTGTATGAAAATCACATTAATTCATTGAGCCCAAAAAAAAAAAAAAAAGTGAAAACAAGTCGAGCGATAAAAAGAAGAAAAATATAAAAAAGAAATTCTTACTTACCAGACATCACAATCACTTATTTTCGAACGATCTATTTTAAATCAATTTTTAATATTGACTTAAGAAATTTTCTGATACTATTTCAAAGGAGTTAAACTGCAGTGTGTAACCGATAGGTTTGTATATGCCTCGAGGAAGACCAAGTCTTACTACCCCGAGGAAGATTACGCGCGTGATTACAGGTGAGAAACAGGATAGGGGCGACGATACCTCGGCGCATGTCGGGGGCGGCGTTCTTCCGGAGGGCGGAGTTTGATATACCTTTTGATAATGTACCGTACGATCGTCTGTAACATTTCGAAATATCCCCGTAATGAGTGCCATCACCATCAACCCCTATATGCGAGGAAAAATAGAGTCACCGATGACAAATGATATACTTTGAGAAATCATCTATAAAATCGTCTGCGCTAGAAAACATTTCTAAACGTTTTGGATGTGGTTTAGTTTTGTTTAATTTCATTTTTCTTTTTCTTTTTCTTTTTCTTTTTTGTTTTTTCTTTTTTTTTTTTTTTTACTTTCTTTAAAAACGAATTTTGATGAACGCAATAATTCGTACGTCCGATTGTCCTAAATATAATTGACAATATACAATATATCAATTTATAATAATTATTTATGAAATCTATTCTTTGAAAATTATTAAAAATAAAAAGGTCTATGTTGAAAAGTATATCAGAGTATAGTAAAGGTAATTACATTTTATATGTAGATTATACACGTAAAAATCCAAAGTCATTCGGGTTATCGTACTCTAGATTCGATATGGATTTAAATTGTAGAACTTACTGGTTATGTCAGAGCTGTGAAAAAAACAATCAAACTGAAATAAAAATTCTTTCTTAAACTTTTATCTTAGATTTGTATTCTTGATTGTTAATTATTAAGAAATTTGTCAATATATTATTGCCAGTATATATGAATTGACTCATACTACGAAGGACCGAGAAAAGAACTCATAGCCTTAATTACTCTCCGAAATCGAAGTCTTTTGTTGATCAACGGAGTAACGCGTCGTCACGGTATCGGCGATTTTTCACAAATATTCAACCGGAGGTGAGATAATTCGTCGTGTGGCATCGGGACGCCGGACGTCCCGCGGTGCCGTTCCCTCGTTTGTCACCCACCGAAGGATATTAACGCTATTGAAGTCTCCTTGGGATCTTTATAAAATGCTCCTTCATCGTCCTACAAACGGCAATGTGCCAGGCACGTGCTATCTATGTATATTATAGCATTATCATTGCCGATCGATTTGAGCAACGTCGAAAGCATAAACCAGCGTTTTTCGCTTTTAAAATAGGAACTCCTTTAGTAGCTTATCATTCGTTGAAGGTTCTGTATTTTATCCAAAAGCGCAAAGACTTTATCTTCATTTAACAAATATATATTATATTATTAACATACATTACCATTATTTTCTATCAATTTCTTTTGTTTATCAAACGTCACTATCACTTATTTATAATTGTATATAACAATATTATAACAAATACTATATAAGTTGAAATATATAAACTATAAAAGTGAAAAGTATATAAAAGAATTTTGATGAGTTTATTTTATTTGATACATTTTAATTATTTTCAGTATATACAACTGAAAAATTTAAGTTGGCTTTATCTTGAAGTCTCATTTTTCTCGTAACCGGTACATATTGTAATTCTAATATTTCTAATAGATTTTGACCGGTGCGTAAAAATGGTGCCGGTATATAGAGAGTCATTTGTGGACCAACCATAGGCCAATATCTACCAAGGTTGTAACCGTTTACGTATGCGATACCTTTACCCCAACCTGTGGTATCTAGATAAGTATCCAGTGGTTGATCAGTAATGTAGAAATAAGAACGGAAAAATACCGGTCCATTTAAAAGAACACCACTCGTTTCAATCGTTTTAGTTGTAAAATTATTCAATCCTTTTACATCGCTTAGCCGAAATCCTGTTACGTTCCATGGTGATAGTGGAACTCCGTTGATGTTTACATTAAAAATACCCTATGAATGATAAAAATTATGATAACATTTACATGATTTCCACTGATTTACATCAAATTGTTGAATACCTTAAAATCATGAATCTCATTGCCATAATTTAGATGTCCTTGATTTTCTACGAGTATTTTCAAGCGTTGGCCATGTGGGTTTACCAAGGACAAGGAATAGATATTCTTCATTCGACTCAATGTTCCGACGAGTTCAGAATCGACATATATCAATGCTCTATCTTTTGTTAATGCATTTAATATCATTGTATTCTTAATATTGGATGGTATATTAGTTTCATAGAGAACCAAATAATGCGGTAATCCTATTTCTTCAAAAGTCGGTGGGTTGGATGTGAATACTGTAGGAGAACCAAATAATTCTCTCGATTTCGGTTCAAATAAATCTAATACAGGTTCCAATAATATTGGACCATAATCGCCTTTAGGTGATACCGTTGGTAGGGAAATATTTGGCAAAGGAAGATACTAACAAAGAATATTAACATTATTAAATATCGTAGTTCATTATTCGTTTGTAAAAGATATTGTACCTTGGATATAACATCTCTTATCAGAAAATATTTTTCTGTTGGATCTCCAGCCTCTGTTAATGGTGCGTCATAGTCGTAGGAAGTTAATTGAGGATTAAACGACTTGGAATCACCATTAGCTCCTAAATTATTACATACGATCATATAAATCATAACATATAAAAATAATATATTATAATTTATTAGAATAATATATTAGAATAAAATAATTATACTAACCAGAAGTAAATCCAAAGTTCGTGCCGCCATAAAACATATATATGTTAACGGAAGCTCCAAGTGCCAACATTTCGTCTAATTTTTGTTGAACAGCATTACCCGACACTCTTTGAAATGGTTCTTCCCAATGGGTCAACCAGCCAGGATAGAACTCCGAATTTATCAGTGGCCCCTTAAATGATTATTTTAATCAGTAAATAAATTTATCCAATTTTTGTTTAAAAAAAAGAACAATTATAACAATATCTACCCTCGATTGAAATCGTCTCATAAGTTCAAAGCTATCATTTACATTGGAACCAGTACCAAAATCAATGGTGGTATATACACCAGATACTGATCCGCAACGAAGCATTCTATCGTTTATTCCATCCGTCGTATATAAGACAGCTTTATTTCCAATTATTTTTTGGAAGATATCGCGTAATGTGTTCATATATACGGAATCACAAGCTCCATAACTTCCATATTCATTTTCCACCTAAATCACAAACATGATTAAAGAAAATCTGAAGAATATCATTATCTTATAAATATCATAAAAACTAATGTACCTGAACCATAATGATAGGTCCACCATTTCCTCTTAAATAAGGTTTCACTTTATTCAATACAATATTCAAGTATTGTTCTACGTAATTTAAGTAACCTAACGATGAGAAAAAAAAATTAAAAACAAGATATCTATAATGTAAAAACATTACTATGGACAATAATTACTTACGTATATCATTAGTACGTAATTTTATATCAGGTACACGAGTTAATAACCAATATGGAAAACCACCCTAAAAAGAAAGATTATTAAACCAAATAAATGATTTTTTTTATAGATTTAATATGATTTATGTACAAAGTCTCTTTCCGCGCAAATGTAAGGTCCGGGTCTCAATAAAACTAAAAGATCCTCTTCTTGAGCGATATTTAGAAATTCAATGAGGTCTGCTTCGCCACTCCAGTTCCAAACATCTATTTCAGGTTGATGTAGACTCCACTCTACGTACCTGTACAGAATATATTTAGACATAGTCTACTTATTAAATTCATTTCTTATTCATCCTTACGTCGAAACGGCATTTAAACCAGCTGCTCTCATTTTCCTCAATCGATCCCGCCAATATCTCTTGGGCGTACGAAAATAATGAAAACTACCGGAAACATAACGGAATGGTTGCCCATCCAACAAGAATTGATTATTTGAATAATCTATTTCGAAACCAAATTTCGACTCTAAATTCTGCAATCGAAAATTTCCTTAATATAATTACAGCATTAAGTTCGTCAGTAAATCGTCATTTTTTTTTTTATATCAAATACATACATTTCGTTCGATATGTAATAGTTCTCCAAATATACTGCCAATGGTCACTATCGACAAAAGTAATGCCTTCCACATGTTGATTTGTTACAAATCCAACTGGATAAACTTTTTTGTTCTTCGTCAAAGTCGCTAAGAAAGATCGCCGATCCGGTTCGTCTTAACGATAACGCTCGACTGAGACTGACCAGACAAGTAGTATCTCAAGTTGTTTATGTTTAAAGTTCAGCACATTCGAGATAAGATCATTCGAGTATCATTATTGTGCTATATATTTGAACTTCATTTATTCTTATAAAATAGAAAACACCGTGAAGAGATGCCGAAAGGTCTTACTGATTTGTTACTGATTTGCAGCTTATCAATACTCCAAGTATTTATCGTACAAATACACAAATGGGAATAGAGACCATTCGATACTGCTGAATTCTTCGCGCCAAGTAAAGAAACTTAATGCATGTGCTTCGACCTAGAGCATACTGAGCAATATACAGCGATGGATTATGGAACGCGCAATGTATAGTTTAATCGGCAAATTTGAGATGACTTACATTCGTTGGATGAATGCTAACAACATAGACTAGGAGAAAGAAAGAGAGAGAGAGAGAGAGAGATGGAGATAGATAATAGTTAGCTTAACACGTACTATATCAATTACTGTAATAGACGTTCATTAAAATGTCCTCTCTTTTATTTTATACTCCTTTTCATTAGTAATTTTATATTTAATCTGACTTGAACATTTTTCAAAAATATTTTACATTTAACATTTAAATCTTGTATAAAAAAATTTTTTATATTCATCCAACGAATGTAAGTCATCGCAAATTCGCCATACACTTATGTTTTATATGAATATATTTACTTATACGAATAGTTAGAAGTAGATAACAATGATAATAAACGAAGGTAAAGCCTAGACTTACTATTTTAACCATTAGAATGATGAAAGGATTTATCATAAAAATACGGTACGACGTTTAACGATAAAGATTTTATATCACTATGTTAATGCGTTTCGCCATGGCGCCAGAAAACTAACAGGTTTACACGTACCGTTAACTTCACTGCGAGTCGCCCCACTTAAAGTTAGTCGAAATTTATGACCTTTCAAAGCGTAGAGCTCCACGAATTTCTGTACTCAAAAACTAACACTATTGACATAGTATGAAAAATGTTTCGATAAAATTTCTATTAACCGAGTTACCGAGGAAATCGCTCCAATTAGCTATTAAACTAACGATCTTATTTCATTATTTAGATTCCACATAATTATTTACACGTAGATACGATACGACAATATTTGTTATCAATCATTAAATGATAAAATTTGTTATACGTTACAAACGCACGTTTAAAGTATACTATTTTATATTACTTCTTATTTTTTTTTTTTATACGAGAACTTCTTGACCATGAAATGCAACATGTTTATTTATAGAGACAAAGAAGTATTAATTTTCTTTTCACTATGAAAACGTTCTTTTTACTATGTCACGTTCATTATGAGTACGTGACATTCAAATACATTTTATTTCTAGTTACGTAAAACATGGCATTAAATAAATAACCTAGTATTCTATTGCAAAAATAAAAAGGTAAAAGTTTTTTCTTAACTAAAATGAATCTCTTTATTGAAATAAATTGAATTTATTAAAAAATATTAATTAATATATTTAATTAACAATATTAGTAAAAAATTAAATAAATTCTTTTGGAATAGAATTATAAAAACTTAATTACTTAGTTATCATTTAGATCCCAATAATGATCTATTTTCTTGTCTTGTAATATCTTTTTTGCCACATGTACCGCAGATAGTACATAATGTGATAACTACTACATATAAGCTAACTAGTTATGTATTGATGATATGATGATATATCGAATGATAATATATCAATCTTCAGTCAAATGGCCTGAATAAAGTATCGAGCTAAAATTTTATAATGACTATAATATACTGCTTTAAACTGTACTATTTCATAATTTTCATTTCCATACTACTTCCGTTTAAATAATATTTAAAATTAATTGAATTTCTATTTGAAACGCATGGCGTTTCTCTCGAATTTAAAATTAATTCTCGAATTAAAACTATTTTAATAAAAAAATAATTAAATTTTTTCGATAAATTTTTGAAATTGAATGTATTAGGCTGCAAATTTTCTTTTACAATATTTAAATTATAAACTTTATATTCTCTCATGAATCTATACTATTATTTTTATATATGTACTGATTCATTTTTATAATGTTACGAATACGAAGATCTCTACGTAAACAGTTCGTAAATTTTAACAGATTCCATGTCGAGCCATTTTTGTTGAATTTTTTATCCAGGTCATTTGAAATTTTAATTAATATTTGATATATTATCATACAATATTTCGTCGCATCGTCAATCCATAAGTAATTAGCTTGTATAAAGTAATTATCACATCGAGTACCATGTGTACCGTAGTACTACACATTGTGCTGCAATCAGTTTTATATGTTTTTAACACATTAAATAAATATATTAGCGTGTACTACCAGTGATATTACTGGTGATATTACCAGTGAATGGAAAGTTTTAAACGTCTTAGTCTTTGTAAGATAAATAAAACGTACTACTTTATATAACGTCGATATATTGTTGTATAATCTAATGAACAGATTACAAATATAATAACAATAAAAATCTCAAGTAATTCGAATAGAAAAGGATGATTTGATAAATACGTTCTTATAAATATTTTTTTTTTTTAATTAAAGAATCAGATATATTATTTATCAATATTGTACATATGTGTTATGTTATTTTTCTAATATACAAAATAAATCTCTTTTTATACATAACTATATATGAAATGTACAGTAATATTGCATATGAAATATACGCTAAGATTATATTGTTTTTATATATCGATAACGCTTGTAAAATTTATATTATTGAAACATGGCTTATAAACAATGTCGATCCTCGTGACATAACGACGATCATCTAATAAATCGTTAGAAATTTATATTTCTAAGATCCTTGCAAATGATTGTAAATATTTTGAAGGAGCTCCATTAATTGATTGGTATCGTTTATATCAATTGTTTTAGTCATTGCCCCGTTGTTTGTATATTTAATAATTGTGGTAGGTGAAGATTGATTTATTGCAGCTTCTATGTCGGATATATTATTTGGAAACTTATTTTCATCTACTGTACCTTCATCTGTACTTGTACCTATAAAGAAAATTTCACAAATTGTTACATGCAAGATAATATATTACATAATAAAATTCATATATTTTTTTTATATCGATCAACGTACGTAATGCAAATTAAATTGTTAATAGATACATCTGTTTTGAAATCTGCTTACTTTCGGCTCCAACTCCAGTATTAAGAGTACGTTTTTCAATAACGCCATCAAAATTATCTTCTCCATTTAAAATTATCGGATCACCAGCTTGTTCTTCTTCATCGAAGAGCGTTTTGAGAGTTTTCTGTTTTGTAATAGGTAACACCACTCGAGTAGTGATAATATTCTCGTTATTGTTCATATCAAAAGCAGTATTTGTGTTAATACATACCGTTGTTATCTCTGGATTAGCATCTTGCAGAACAACTGCAGAGGCAGTATCGATTGCTTCGAGATCAGATCTATGCTCAGCTTCATGCCATTCATTGGTACTATTAGAATTCCATTTAGAAACAGTAGACTTCTGAGTAACGTTTACTATGTTATTAGATATCGTAGATCCATTTTGAGATTGGCCGTCAACTTTTATTGCATAATTTTCAATACTACTTCCAGAAGTAAGATTAACATTTTGATTTTTTATTGTGTCTGATAAATTGGATGATGGTAATGAAAATATAGAACTATCACTATTATTAGATTTAGAATTGTTGTTCGACTGTAAAATGATAGATTGAGAATCAGATGATTGTTTAGACGTCGTAAGTTCTTTTTTCACTGTTTTACTTATATTTCTGTCAACTCCTGAATTCTCATTCCCATTGCTAGAATTTATATTAAAACTAATATTCGTATATCGTGAATCAACAGTTGGAGAAAACTCAGATTCACTTGAGTTTACAAAAGATTTCTCATCGGTTGTAGAAATGGGAATTAAATCCTTCCACCGTGGATAAATTCCTTGAGTAGTAACAGGTACTACAGTATTGCTGTTAGATACTTCCGTTAGTGCTGAGTTTGATTGTAAATCCCATTTTGTTGTATTATCTGTAATTGCACTAGAAGTCGATATATAACCACTGGAACATGGGATAACAGTTAAAGAACCAATTTCGTCATTCAATAGAGAAGATTGGGATGGTATAACAATATTCGTATTGTTATTTAAACTTAAATTATCATTAGAGATATTCTCTTCATCCTGTATAGTAATACGTGAACTTGAATCAGAATTCAAATTTGGTTTGATTGATGTTGCTACCCAATCTGGTTTATAAGATCCAACTAGCCACTCTGGTATATCTGATATAAAAGGTAAGTGTGGTTTATTCGATGATAGTGGTAATTGTGGTTTATCTGATATACCTGACCAGTCTGGTTTTTCTGTAATAATTGGCAAATGTGGTTTACTTGATGATGTTGACAATAGCGGTTTATGTGAAACAACTGTCCAGTCTGGTCGGTCTGATACAACTGGCAAATGTGGTTTGACTGATGTTCCTATCCAATCTGGTTTATCAGATCCAACTGGCCACTCTGGTTTATCCGATGTAATAGGTAAGTGTGGTTCATCCGATGATAATGGTAATTGTGGTTTATCTGATATAGCTGACCAGTCTGGTTTTTCTGTAGTAGTTGGCAAATGTGGTTTATTAGATGATATTGGTAATCGCGGTTTATGTGAAACAACTGGCCAGTCTGGTCGGTCTGATACAACTGGCAAATGTGGTTTGACTGATGTTCCTATCCAATCTGGTTTATCAGATCCAACTGGCCACTCTGGTTTATCCGATGTAATAGGTAAGTGTGGTTCATCCGATGATAATGGTAATTGTGGTTTATTTGATATACCTGACCAGTCTGGTTTTTCTGTAGTAATTGGCAAATGTGGTTTACTTGATGATATTGGCAATCGCGGTTTATGTGAAGCAACTGGCCAGTCTGGTCGGTCTGATACAACAGGAAAATGTGGTTTGACTGATGTTCCTATCCAATCTGGTTTATCAGATCCAACTGGCCACTCTGGTTTATCCGATGTAATAGGTAAGTGTGATTCATCCGATGATAATGGTAATTGTGGTTTATTTGATATACCTGACCAGTCTGGTTTTTCTGTAGTAATTGGCAAATGTGGTTTACTTGATGATATTGGCAATCGCGGTTTATGTGAAGCAACTGGCCAGTCTGGTCGGTCTGATACAACTGGCAAATGTGGTTTGACTGATGTTCCTATCCAATCTGGTTTATCAGATCCAACTGGCCACTCTGGTTTATCCGATGTAATAGGTAAGTGTGGTTCATCCGATGATAATGGTAATTGTGGTTTATTTGATATACCTGACCAGTCTGGTTTTTCTGTAGTAATTGGCAAATGTGGTTTACTTGATGATATTGGCAATCGCGGTTTATGTGAAGCAACTGGCCAGTCTGGTCGGTCTGATACAACTGGCAAATGTGGTTTGACTGATGTTCCTATCCAATCTGGTTTATCAGATCCAACTGGCCACTCTGGTTTATCCGATGTAATAGGTAAGTGTGGTTCATCCGATGATAATGGTAATTGTGGTTTATTTGATATACCTGACCAGTCTGGTTTTTCTGTAGTAATTGGCAAATGTGGTTTACTTGATGATATTGGCAATCGCGGTTTATGTGAAGCAACTGGCCAGTCTGGTCGGTCTGATACAACAGGAAAATGTGGTTTGACTGATGTTCCTATCCAATCTGGTTTATCAGATCCAACTGGCCACTCTGGTTTATCCGATGTAATAGGTAAGTGTGATTCATCCGATGATAATGGTAATTGTGGTTTATTTGATATACCTGACCAGTCTGGTTTTTCTGTAGTAATTGGCAAATGTGGTTTACTTGATGATATTGGCAATCGCGGTTTATGTGAAGCAACTGGCCAGTCTGGTCGGTCTGATACAACAGGAAAATGTGGTTTGACTGATGTTCCTATCCAATCTGGTTTATCAGATCCAACTGGCCACTCTGGTTTATCCGATGTAATAGGTAAGTGTGATTCATCCGATGATAATGGTAATTGTGGTTTATTTGATATACCTGACCAGTCTGGTTTTTCTGTAGTAATTGGCAAATGTGGTTTACTTGATGATATTGGCAATCGCGGTTTATGTGAAGCAACTGTCCAGTCTGGTCGGTCTGATACAACAGGAAAATGTGGTTTGACTGATGTTCCTATCCAATCTGGTTTATCAGATCCAACTGGCCACTCTGGTTTATCCGATGTAATAGGTAAGTGTGATTCATCCGATGATAATGGTAATTGTGGTTTATTTGATATACCTGACCAGTCTGGTTTTTCTGTAGTAATTGGCAAATGTGGTTTACTTGATGATATTGGCAATCGCGGTTTATGTGAAGCAACTGGCCAGTCTGGTCGGTCTGATACAACTGGCAAATGTGGTTTGACTGATGTTCCTATCCAATCTGGTTTATCAGATCCAACTGGCCACTCTGGTTTATCCGATGTAATAGGTAAGTGTGGTTCATCCGATGATAATGGTAATTGTGGTTTATTTGATATAGCTGACCAGTCTGGTTTTTCTGTAGTAATTGGCAAATGTGGTTTACTTGATGATATTGGCAATCGTGGTTTATGTGAAGCAACTGACCAATCTGGTCTATCCGATACAACAGGCAAATGTGGTTTGACTGATGTTCCTATCCAATCTGGTTTATCAGATCCAACTAGCCACTCTGGTTTATCTGATGTAATAGGTAAGTTTGGTTCATCCGATGATAATGGTAATTGTGGTTTATCTGATATAGCTGACCAATCTGGTTTTTCTGTAGTAGTTGGCAAATGTGGTTTACTTGAAGATATTGGCAATCGCGGTTTATGTGAAGCAACTGGCCAGTCTGGTCGGTCTGATACAACTGGCAAATTTGGTTTGACTGATGTTCCTATCCAATCTGGTTTATCAGATCCAACTGGCCACTCTGGTTTATCCGATGTAATAGGTAAGTGTGGTTCATCCGATGATAATGGTAATTGTGGTTTATTTGATATACCTGACCAGTCTGGTTTTTCTGTTGTAATTGGCAAATGTGGTTTACTTGATGATATTGGCAATCGCGGTTTATGTGAAGCAACTGGCCAGTCTGGTCGGTCTGATACAACAGGAAAATGTGGTTTGACTGATGTTCCTATCCAATCTGGTTTATCAGATCCAACTAGCCACTCTGGTTTATCTGATATAATAGGTAAGTGTGGTTTACCCGATGATAATGGTAATTGTGGTTTATCTGATATAGCTGACCAGTCTGGTTTTTCTGTAGTAGTTGGCAAATGTGGTTTACTTGAAGATATTGGCAATCGCGGTTTATGTGAAGCAACTGGCCAGTCTGGTCTATCCGATACAACAGGCAAATGTGGTTTGACTGATGTTCCTATCCAATCTGGTTTATCAGATCCAACTGGCCACTCTGGTTTATCCGATGTAATAGGTAAGTGTGGTTCATCCGATGATAATGGTAATTGTGGTTTATCTGATATAGCTGACCAGTCTGGTTTTTCTGTAGTAGTTGGCAAATGTGGTTTAGTTGAAGATATTGGCAATCGCGGTTTATGTGAAGCAACTGGCCAGTCTGGTCGGTCTGATACAACTGGCAAATTTGGTTTGACTGATGTTCCTATCCAATCTGGTTTATCAGATCCAACTGGCCACTCTGGTTTATCCGATGTAATAGGTAAGTGTGGTTCATCCGATGATAATGGTAATTGTGGTTTATCTGATATAGCTGACCAGTCTGGTTTTTCTGTAGTAATTGGCAAATGTGGTTTATTTGATGATATTGGCAATCGTGGTTTATGTGAAGCAACTGGCCAATCTGGTCTATCCGATACAACAGGCAAATGTGGTTTGACTGATGTTCCTATCCAATCTGGTTTATCAGATCCGACTGTCCACTCTGGTTTATCTGATGTAATAGGTAAGTTTGGTTCATCCGATGATAATGGTAATTGTGGTTTATTTGATATACCTGACCAGTCTGGTTTTTCTGTAGTAATTGGCAAATGTGGTTTACTTGATGATATTGGCAAACGCGGTTTATGTGAAGCAACTGGCCAGTCTGGTCGGTCTGATACAACTGGCAAATGTGGTTTGACTGATGTTCCTATCCAATCTGGTTTATCAGATCCAACTGACCACTCTGGTTTATCCGATGTAATAGGTAAGTGTGGTTCATCCGATGATAATGGTAATTGTGGTTTATCTGATATAACTGACCAGTCCGGTTTTTCTGTAGTAATTGGCAAATTTGGTTTATTTGATGCTACTGGCCAGTCTGAATTGCCTGATATATCTGGAAAATCTGATTTGTTTGATGCAACTGTCCAATGTGTTTTATCGGACGAAATAGCTAATTCCTTTTTGCCTGATACAACTTGAATATCTAAGTTATCTGATGCTACTGACCAGTGTGATTTGTCTGATATAGCTGGAAAAACATATTGATGAGTAATTATTATGATATTATTAATTAGAGCATGTATAAATATATATATTATAAATTATTAATACCATGCGATGAGTTTTCAATTTTACCGTGATCTAGCGGATAATACCATGGTAATCCTTCGATACCTTCGATGGTATCATTACGAATAGACGTTATTTCTAGACCATTTAGATAACCATTAGATGAAGAATTTGAAACTTCAATATTACCTACAATAAATTCATTCGTCAATATAATGAAAATAGAAGAGATACTATTTTAAGATATTAAGTGTAATATAGAAAGGATTTAAATTATTTTTATAATAAATTCAATAAACCTGTGACTTCTGAAACTGCTCCAGCATGTGAATTCTGGTTTAAGGATGTACTTGAACGATAAGAATGGAATGTAGTAGTTATTATATCATAAATACCATTTAATGCAATTCTTATATTTGTTGGCAAGTCTTTCAGTATAGTATTACCATATTTATGTTCAAAACGATCTCGAAGTCTTTTTAATGTTTTAACAATTAATATGTTTTGAGTATCTGTACATCCTAATAATCCCTTACGATCGCACAATTTTTTTTCTATTAGAGTTTTGATAATCATTGACTTTATTTCACTCCATTTGCTTTCAGTTGATATATCATCCGTATTATTAAGTTTTTTATCACAATTTATACCATTCTCTTCACTTTTAGATGAGGTTGTTTTATCCTGCTCCTTTCTAATTTCCTTCTCACTTAATTTCTCCTTCAATGACGATAAAAGTTGCTTCAATATTTTTAAATTTAATTCAATGAATACATCATCGGACAATTTTTTAGATATTGTATAATTCCAATTTTCTATTTCATTCAATGATCCATTTAATTTCACTTCATCACTGAATTTAGAATTATCATATTTAATATGCTTGCTCTTGTCCTCTTTCTGTTTCTTATTATCCTCCTTCTTGTCTTGATCTTCATCAGACTTATTGAGGTTCGATTTTTTCCAGTGTTTATCTTCCTTAGATTTGTTTTTATCTTTTTCCTTCGATTTCAATTGGGAGGAGTTCAAAGAAGAATCTAATGATTCCGTAGAATCTGATGAATCCGAAGAATCTGATGAATCCGAAGAATCTGATGATTCCGAAGAATCTGATGAATCCGAAGAATCTGATGAATTCGAAGAATCATCATCGTTCTCTTTAGATTGTTGTTTCTCATACTTGTAAACATTCTTTATATGTTTTAATCGATTCAATGTTTCATCCGGCAGATGATCCAATACTGAATATTCCTTATTAGGAACTTGATCGTCCTTTGAATCCGTATCATTTTTAGAAAAAGGATTCATTAAATCTTTCAACTTCTTCTGAAATTTATCATTAAGTTTCTCTCTAATTTCTTTGTAATTTTGATTCTCTTCATTTTTTAAATCTTTAGGCCATGATAAGTCTGATTCCCAATGAGATGCTCCCAAGGTGTAGGCGAAGAGCAAAGTAATAAGAAATACACCTAAATGAATCAGTAGATGTTGAGAAAAATTATCATCTTAATACGAATGATATAGAATTTTTATAGAAAAAAAAAAAAACATAGTAAGAAGATTATTACCTTTCATGATTTTACCATATGATCAAGTCAATTCGATTTGTCATATAAAAATATCTTCTGTATACTGTCCTTACAAATCGGAAGGAACTCATTTATATAGCAGCCAGGTAAGAATTCCTTATCGCAGTTGCTCACGAAAAAGCACGAAATTTACGGCTGTTATTCTTATGATTCAAGTTATGACGAAGTAATAGTCCTGTTATCAGTCATCTTAAAAATCATCATTATTAAGCATAAAAATAATCATTTTCCACTAAATTTGGAAATATATTATTAAGAATTGACTATTTTTGCTATAAGAATTAAATCAAAATAAGTACAATTATTGGATAATTGATTTTTATTAATAAATTCTTTATTTATTGAAATCATTGTATAAATTTACTATTGTCTTTCAAAGAACTTTAATCAAACAATTTTATCTATATCAAATAGAATTTAAAAATTACTTTAGATTAAAATATATATATATATATGAACAATTACATATTCATTAAAGATAAATCTGTTATCTGATATTTTAGAAATTAAAGAAATTAGCGCTCAGATACGTGTCAACGTAATCTCACGTTCCACCAATCAAGAAATTTAAGAATTTGCAACAATCGATATTATATCGGCCGTATTAAAAAATCAATCGTGTATTATCGTAGTAATAATAAGATTTATAAACGTGACGATAAAAAAAGAATCTCAAAGAATCGATACTTCAAATGATCGATCGATTTTAATAACGATTGATAACATTTGAAGAAACGTGATCAAAAAATTATGCAATAAATGACACGTACAGATTGATCGACCAATCTATATTCGAACATCTTAGTTATAATGTTATAATTTAGTTTTTCATTCTTCTAAATTTACAATAATACGGATAGGTCAAGATCCTTGAATGAGAGATATCTAGAATTAGAAAACGCTCGCGATAGAAATCGAAAGTGGACAAGGTAGCGAGGCCAGCGAGCGAAAGCGAACGCGATCCTGACCTAGGATACCCAGCTTCCTCGGTGAGAACCGTTCAGTGATCGTACATCGGGTTAATAGAAATCTCTGTTAGGTCGGGTCAGGACGATCGCCGGCCAGCGAAAGTGAAAACGAAACGAAACTGGCAAGTCGGTCGCGACCGCCCGATGTAGGAGAGTGAAATTGAGGCCGGTAAAAGTGGGCAAGTAGGACTGTGCCCTATATGCGACCGTCCTTTCGGTCACGCTTTTCGTTCGAACGCGTTCACTTTCATCGGATGAAACTGTCGTGCCTTCACGCCCTCGATTAGTAGCATATTCACCTTTGTATCGACGAATAAGTATCGACTTTCATCGAACCGTGATACATTTATATTTTATTTATTTTCATTTGGCATGAATTTTTTCAAACATTTTTCATAAAGAAAAATTATTTCGAACAAATAATTGTAGAGATTAATTGACAAATAACACTTGTTAAATGAACACTTTTTATTGCAATAATTCATCATAAAGATATTAAACATATGTGAAAAATGTTTAATATCTTTAGCAAAGTTTTCCTAAGATTACGTTAGAGATAAAATGAAAAATACTTGAGAAGAATGAATCATTAAGAACTATTCTGAATAATAAATATTATTAAATGTACTATAAAAAAGTAAAACAGTAAATATAATAGGATTATTAAATACAAGTTCGTTGTAGCATATGATAATAATAAAATTTTTCTACTGTACACAATAGATTTATAACTATGATTGCATGCTTTTTTAGAAACTAGATAATAAACGCACTCACACATAGTAATTTTTACGTTACAAAAGATAACAAACTTATCTATTTAAAATTGTAAAAGAATCAATCATTTTTTTTTGATACCGAATCATAATCGCTGATGTGAGATTATCTTTCTGTTATTAAATAAATAAAAAGGATTTAAAAATCAAGATTATTTCACAATATTTTGTAAAACAGAAATTGAGTAAAACTTCCAATCATTCTGTGGCTTCGTTGAATCATAACGTAAGCAAAGTAACAGTATATTTGCATACTCTGAATCTTCTTTTTCCTTATCGAATTTGATCAAATATTAAAAGATTTAACTCTCTAACAAATATTAATTTTTTCACGATCTATCTCTTTAAGATAATAGAAGATTTAAGATTTGTTGGTAAATTGCTTTAAACGAAGTATATCAAATAAAAACAAAGAAAAAAAGTTTCTGATAAAAATATGACATGCATAAGATATAATTAATACTGCGTGCGTATCATGTAATTTTTAAATTTTGAACTTTTTAAATGTTTTATTCATTATTTTTACCAATAATGAACGAATTTGTTTATCAAAAAAAAAAAAATAAATAAATAAATAAAAAGAATGATAAATTATCGATTGTAGTCATGTTAGTAATTAATCGATAAATGATCAACGAAAGGTTCCTTCTTTTCTCTTGATAATATACTTACAGTCGATATAGAGGAGTTCTATTTCAATATCGGTAGATGACGCTGTTAACTCAAATATTAACTCAATGTTTAATTACTTCTGATAGATCAATTGTATTTATATAGAATCCTCATGATCATTACAAAGTCTATGACTTTTGGTAATTTAAAAACATTCCTGCGAATATTTAAATGATCGCAAAAGAAATGCAAAATAAAATTTCTTCTAAAGGATTAAAAATGAAGGATCTTCGACGAATCACTGGAAGTTATTTAAAAAAGAAGAAAATTGGTTAAAAATTTAACATCTCCTTTGAAATCCTTTGCAACTTAATCGACGCAATTTACCGATACGCGATATCTTTCTCACAGTCATTATAGCAACAGTTGTACAATGTTTTACATTTATGTCTTATACTCCATCAACGAAGAAAGTAACATATTTTAGCTCTTCGTTGCAACACGTATGAGAACCCAAAATATTTTTGCAGGATGTCGCGAATATTTCGCAAAGACTGTTGTATAAAACGGTCTCACATACACATAAACCTTGAACCATCTGTGTGCTCTACATAGATGCGTCCGATATGAGATCGATCGTTTGTCGAAGCCGGTCTTCACGTAATGAGAGGCCCAAAGCCGCCTCGCGTGTATCTCGTTCTCCCCTTTATGAGAATCGACAGATTTCCATCGAGATTACGATCGTGGGTGGATCATCTGATCTTGCAACAAGGACAATCAACTTTAATCGACCTTCTTAACTCCCAAATGCTTTTTCTCTACTCTACTTGTATATCTATCTTTAATTTATCAAAAATCTCACAAATTAAACTAATGATCATTGAATCATATTATTCAGGATCAATCAAATAGTTAATTATATTTGAGTAATAAATCAAAATAATGAAAAAATTTGTTTTTGTAAAATTCAGGATCATTTACAGGAAATAACGATCATTGATCACAATGAAAGCTGTTATTGTTATCAATATTACGGACAAAAGTCACTTGGGAATCCCTAGAAATATTTCATCACCGATGGAAATTGCGATGCGATTGGTGTTGTAGAATCCACCCACCACCCGCTTTTCGCCGTCGTTGTTGTCGTCGTTGGTTCGTTCAGTTGATCGATAAACCGTCGATTTTACAGGTAAGTGCGCATGCATGTAGGCGCAACGAAATTAGTATGCCGCTCAGTGTCGATATCCCGAAGCAATTATTTCGAGGCGGACCGACCCTATCAGCTTCGCATATCCTCCTGAAGTTAATGGCCGGCCAATGTTTTGATTCTCGTTCGACAGGTTTCGTAACGCTGCTTTAATTTACGCGAGGTTACACTGTCTTGCAAAATAGTCTCGCAAAATTGGCAGATCGATCGTAGATTACGAAACAGAACTACTACTGTCCTAATCGTTGAAAATTATTAAATAAAATCTATAATATTTAATAATAAGAAAAACATGATATCTAGTAAATTCAGAATTTTATTCTATTTCCGAGAGAAAAGACTGTTATTACTAAGAAAAATCAATAAAAGTATTAAATCCATCTCCGATTCGAAGAATGATTCTATGTAAAATTGATGGGGTCACCGCACCCGGAATTACAGGTGACACGACACTTTCATCGTCGTCGAATTCGGTACGTAACTCTCTTTCACAGAGCATTACGAACCCACTTACGCTACTATCCATGTACCTACTTCGTGAAACTGCATTAATATTCTTGTCGCAGGAGCAGCCTCACGCTTTGTCGAACGTATTCTATGCGACACGAAGTGGAAACACTCTTGAAGAAAGATCGGTCTGCGTAAAAGTCAAGAAATCGCTTACGTAATTCCGAGAGTTTCTATCTAAAGAGCAAATATTTGTTTGTACCTATGTAAATGTCGGACCCTATACAGTTATGAGAACAAAAAACTAACGAGTACTTTGCGTAACCCTTCTAGTTAAAATCAACGTAAAAAGGATGAATGAACTTAATCAGGTTCCCTTTCGCCATTTAACCCCTGGAGCTGTTTAACCGTCTGGTCTTTGGTCACATCCTAAAATTTCACTAGAGAAAGCGACGTACGCGTGCTGACTTTAGAAATTTAAGGAAAACATCAAACGTCTCCTACAGTTCGTCTTAGTCTTTAACGAACTCTTTAGAATTTCAAAAGAAGACATTTGATATTTTTCATGATCAGTTTAATTTTAGTTCTCCAGGATTTCTTGTGACGCTACGTAGTCTTTAATCTTCGATGAAATATAAAAAATAATCGAAAAGGGGTCGTTGCGTGCCATCACGTTTTCACGCGATACGGAGCCACGTGCGCTGTGCGTTGAATTAGCTCTACGCAGTGATTGTTGTAGATTCCATACGTCACGATCTTCGATCTTCGACGACAATTTCACGAGATACCAATCTCGATTGCGAATAAGAAAATAAAATATATTTATTCCTTTCTCTTATTCTAAGAGAAGGTACTGTCAATGTCATAGTTGATAAATTGATCGAAAGATCTCTCTTCAATGTTTCTTTAAATATCGATTAGCCCATTTGACTCAACAATGAATTTGTATAATTAAAAACTGATGACACTAAGTCTATTAGCCCGTTTACAAGGTAAACGGGCTAACTAGTTTAATTAATGATTCTGTTCTGGTAAAAAATTTCAATTCAAAGCCTCTTCGTACTCTTCCGTGTGGTCATCAACGTTT